TGCTTGTTTGGATTTATTTCTATGTATTAGGTAGATCTGCTAGGACTCCCAGTCTTTTGGATGGTCTCTGGTGTGGGCCAATGTCAGAAGCTGTTTGTGGCTGGCCTTAAGTACTTTGTTTGAAGTTTTCTGCATTCCATAACTTGTGGCTTTCTCTGCTGGGGCTGGGTGCATTTGGGAAGGACCAAGATGTGCACCAAGGTCTGTTTTTTCAAGCCCTGTGGTCAAAAGCAAATCAGGCAAAGAACCAAAGCACCCAGAAGCTGATTATTATTCAGTCTCTTTATGAGCCTCAGGCTGTGGAAACTCCACAAATCAGGGACAGAGGTTTTCCAACAAAGTGGGGCAATTTCTTCTCCCCAGGCAAAAGCTGCTTAGGTGGTAAAGGTCTAACTAAGAAAGATGTCCTCTGCTGTATGGGGAAATGATTCAGCACAGGAATCCAGATGGCTACCCCCTGAGCTCTATTCCCAAAGCCAGCATCCCTAAATTCTCCTCACACAGCTCTAGTTTACTTTGTTCTCCCTCTGCCAGAGCCCAAGGTGAGTGGTTGCACATAAAACTTAGTGTGCTGGCCCTTTAAGAGTGTGCCTACATTTCCAGCCATCTCTCCCTGACAGGCAGAAACCCTGGTGCTTTTCACAGTCAGATGTTATGTGGGCACCTTTCACAGTTCTACTGCTCTGGGCTGGGAAGCCCAGCCTAGGGTTTAGGCTCCAGAGTTCTCAGTAGGAACCACCCACAGCTGAGATATCCCTCCAGACCTTCAGCTGCTGCCTGTGGGAGCCCGGCCAGCACTCTCGTGCCTGTGTACTTCCTACCAGTCTCTATGTGGTCTCCACTTTAGGTCCTTGGTTAAGAGGGTGTTTTCCAGCTAGTCTTCAGTGGATTATTCAGGATATTTTTTTCTATAGTTGTAATTCCAGTTTTGTCCTGGGAGAATGTCAGTGTAGCTTCCACTCAATCCACTGCCATCTTGGAATCTCCTCCCATCTGTTTATTTTCTTCATTAGATTCCACATATAAGCGAGATCATATGGTATTGGTCCTTCTCTGACTGGCTTATTTCACAGAACATAATAATTTCCAGGTCCATCCATGCTGTCACAAAGGGTAAGATTTCCTTCCTTATTTTGAGGAAAATTCATACTGTTTTCCATAGTGGCTGCACCAGTTTGCATTCCCACAAAGTGTGCACAAGGCTTCTCTTTTCTCCATATCTTTGCTAGCACTTGTTTGTGGATTTATCAATGGTAGCAATTCTGATAGGCATGAGTTGATACGTCACAGTGGTTTTAATTTGCGTCTCTCTGATGATTAGTGACTTTGAGCATTTTTCCATATGTCTACTGGCCACCTGTATGTCCTCTTTGAAGAAGAGTTTATTCAGGTCTTTTGCCCATTTTTCAATTGGGTTGTTTGTTTTCCTGGAGTTGAGTTGTATAAATTCTTTATATATTTTGGACATTAAACCATACCAGATGTATCATTGGCAAATATGTTCTCCCACTCAGTGTGTTCCTTTTTCATTTTGTTGACAGTTCCTTTTACTCTGCAGAAGCTTTTAAGTTTGATGTAGCCCCATTTGTTTGTTTGTTTGTGTGTGTGTGTGTGTGTGTATGTGTGTTTGCTTTGTTTCCCTTGCCCAAGGAGATATAGCAGCAAAAATACTGCCATGAGAGATTTCTGAGATTTTACTGGCTATGTTTTCTTTTAGGATTTTTATGGTTTCATAACATATTAGCTTTTATCCATTTTGAGCTTATTCTTGTGTATGGTGTTAAGATGGTGGTCTAGTTTCAATTTTTCATGTACTTACCCAATTTTCCCAACACCATTTATTGAAGACTATCTTTATACCATCGTATACTCTTGCCTCCTCTGTCAAATATTAATTGAGCATAAAAACGTGGGTATATATCTGGGGTCTCTGTTCTGTCCCATTGATCTATATGCCTGCTCTTATGCCAGTTCCATGCTGTTTTGATTATAATGGCTTTGTAGTACAGTTTAATATCAAGTAGTGTAATACCTCCAACTTTGTTCTTTTTTCTCAAAACTGCTGTAGCTATTTGGGGTCTTTTTTGGTTCTATATATATTTTTGGAAAATCTATTCTAGATCTGTGAAATATGCTGTTGGTATTTTAATAGGAATTGAGATGAATCTATAGATTGCTTTGGGTAGTATGGGCATTTTTAATGAGGTTAATTCTTCCAACCCATGAACATGGTATATGCTTCTACTTATTTGTATCCTCCTCAATTTCTTTCTTCAGTATCCTATAATTTTCCAACTACAGGTCTTTTACGTCCTTCGAATTTCTTATATTTTCCTAACACCTATTAAAATTTCTGTTGGGTTAAATACAGATGAGATACCTGTGTTTTAGTGCCACCTATTGGTGAAAATATATATGTGACTAAGACTCTTGCTAATGAGAGTAGAAATTATATTAATATGAGCTTTAAAGCTATCAAAGGATAGAACCACAGTTTTATTTTTAATATAAAACAAAACACTACCCTAGTGGAAGAAGATACTAAGCAGTTATATTTCATCTTTATTTTTATTTAAGATTTAAAAGACCATTTTCATTTTTGCCAGGTTTAATTGTACTAATTTTATAAGAATTATAAGCATTAGCACATATTCCAAGCACAGAAAAGAGATTAAGAGTCAAATGAAATACAAGTTAAATAATGAAGTGTATCATTTATGTAAAGACATAATTGTCAGTGTTACACTCGATTTAAAAACGTAAGGTATTTTGGCTCCTCTCTCCCAACAATTGGGTTTCTCAGCAACTACTACAGAGGATTCAGAGCAGAGTTGCTGAGGAGGAGGAGGCTCCTGGTCCCACACCATTCAATACCTTACTGAACACAGGAAAGGAAGTGAGAGCATTGCCTCTGTAGCCTCCAGAGAAGACAAGGGCATTGCCACTTCAGTCCCTGCTGCCACTATTTTTACCCACAGCAGCTCACCAGTGGCAAGGGGGTGCCAGCATGCCAGGCAGAGCTCAGGCATTGGAAGAAAAGTGCCTGCCCCCACACATACTCCTACAAGCTACAAGAACCACCCCTAAACAAGTCTGTTCGAACCATCCTGGCCAAGACCAGGATTCCTCTACAGAGCCCAGTTCCCTGAGGGAAGGAAGAGCAGCCCTTAACAGGGACATTGAAGGTGCAAGAACAGAATGATACCCAGTCTCTGGGCTAAAGAAGCACCACCCACTGGACTACCTCGTGCTCTGCCCGGCCATGCAGAAGCAGGCACGTGCTTCAGCCAGCCAGGAGGAAGAGAGTTGCAGTAGCCAGTCCAGCAGGGCTAGCAGAGAGAACAGTGACTGAGCCAGGAGATGCCTGAGAGAGTATGGGGTTCTACCATGCAGCTGTCCACTGTCAGGTAGGGGTTTTACTGACAAAGAAACAGAACCACACAGCATTGCTGCCCCTTGGACTCTGAAAACTTGTTTCCCATTGCCCTTGGTGTCAGGTCTATGAACATTTTGTCTGTAAACCAAAAGCTATTGCAGTAGAAATGCTGTTTCCCTCTAACCGATCCCAGGGTTTGATGCTTGGGGCAGGACCCCACAGAGGTTTGGGACCACCATTCTGATGAGGGCAAAACAAACCCCAAACCCAAGCCACACAGCTGTACTGCCTTACAGAAGCCCAACGAGGTCAAGTCTGGGAGATCACAGAAGTAAAAAAAAAATCTTGCGATTCAGAACCATCTACTGAAAAATACTAGAAAGACCTCTTCAGAAAAAGCTGCTACAGAAGAGATATTTATGCCTAGAAAGAGGAGAGTAGCAAATACCATGAATAACCATGGTAACGAGGATGATCAGAAAGAAAATGAAAAGTCCCCAGAAAGCAAGCTGGAACACATGGAAATTTGTGATATAAATGACACAGACTGCAAGACTGCAGTTCTGGCAATACTCAAAGAGATGGGAGAGAACACAGACAGGCAATTCAATACACTCAGCAAACAAATCAATGAACAAAATAAGTACTGTAGCAAAGAGATTGAAACTTTAAAAAAGAACCAATCAGAAATCCTAGAAATGAAGCATGCAATTAAGGAGATTAGAAATGAGCTACTGAGCATAGAAAACAGAGCCAGCCAGATGGAAGAAACAATTAATGATATTGAAGATAGAAATATAGAAGTGATGCAGAGAAGAGAGAGACCTAAGCATAAAGAAAAACAAAAGAGCTCTACGAGAACTGGTTCCATCAGAAAAAGCAATATTAGAATAATAGGCATTCTGGAAGAAGAAAGGGAGGAGAGAACAGAGTGTATTCAATCAAGTAGTGGATGAGAACTTCACAAACCTATGGAAAGAACTAGATCCTATAACCCAAGAAGCAAAAAGAACACCTACTTACCTCAATCTAAAGAGGCCTTCTCCAAGGCATATTATATTAAAACTGTCAAAAATTAATGACAAAGAAAAACTTCTCAAGGCAGCCAGGTATAAGAAAGAAGTGACCTACAAAGGAAAACCCACCAAAATTTCATCCGACTTCTCAGCAGAAACTCTACAAGCCAGAAGGCAGTGGAACCAAACATTGAAATGATTGAAATACAGAAATGACCAGCCATGAATAATATATCCAGCAAAATTATCCTTTAAATATAAAAGAGAAACAAAGACATTCCCAGACATACAGGAGCTGAGAGATTTTATCACCAGAAAACCTCCATTGCAGGAAATACTCAAGAGAGTTATTCTACCTGAAACAAAAAACATAAGGTCACAATACTATAAGATCACCAAAAAACTTACAGCATAAACAGGGATAATTTATGACAACAAAAACATAAAGGGGTATTAAGTAAATACAATAGGAAGTAGGTGCTCCTTTGTGCCTTCCACTTGTTGTGTTCTAGGAACGTTCTGCCCAGGCAGCATGCAGGCACTGACTCCTTTGTCAGCAGCAGTGATCTCAGAACAGCCTCACCAGCCTTTCTAGTTGACAGATAGCTGACCCACCGGTGGAAGGCATGAACAGGATCACCTACAGGTGTCCCCAATGTGGTTATAGTAACTACATGTAGGCTGCCTCACTGCTATAGAAACATTATGTACAGCATAGAGTTGTTCAAACTCCATAAATCAAGCACTTATAAGAAATACTGATTTGCAGGGGAAGGTGGCAGCACTGTGAGGAGCAGCAGAGCACCCCCACTCCCGGCCATGGACTTGATTTATTCCTAAAATCCTACATAGCCAGCTTCGAAAAACCAGAGAAACATACCTGAGTGGATGGAGTGTGAGTGGGAAGCACTGAAAAAACATCACAGAGTCCTGTAAGAGAGGGGGGGCATAGGAAGAGGGAGTCCCTCCTGAAGCCTGTGCTGGGCTCCAAGCCCAGAGGCTTGGAGGATGCAAAGCTCCCTCCCCCGGGAGTGCGGATGGCATCCAAAAGTGAGGATCTCACACCCAGAGCGACAAGAGGAGAAGGAGCGCCACACGCACAGGATAGAGGGACCCAAGGAAGCAGCGAGTCCGCGAGGAGGGGACAACACCTTCCTAGGAAACAAAGCCTCTAATGGCGGATGGTACCTTCCTAGGAAACAAAGCTTCTAGTGGCGGCTGCGACCCGCGTCTAATGGTCAGGGTGCTGACTATAAGGAAGATAGTCCCAAAGTGTGTGGCACCCGAGTGGTAAGGTACCAGAGGACTGCGCTGAGCAGCTGCACACGGGGACCCTCTGCCTCCCTACAAGGCATTGTGTTGAAGCCCAGAAAGTGCTGAATCTGCAGGGCGTGGGGGAGGGGAGGAGCCCGCTCCGCCCTGTACTCCCAGTGCAGAGGGGCTGGGATCTGTGACCAGCCCTAAGGGGCGCCATGGTGGCATGTGAAGCCGCCCCAGCTTTCCTGAGACCAGCGGTGCGGGGAGCTGCTTGGAGCTGACTTTGGGTCCCCTCCCACTGGGTGCCGTGTCATGCGGGCAGAGAGACCTTGCAGGGTGGACTTTCTACCTGTGTGTTGCTTTGTGCGTTGGTGAGTTTGATCGCAGAACAGGCTCCCACCTTCCCAGCATGCACTGAGCAGACCAACCAGCGGAGCCTGGGATTGGGGTCTGCACAGTAGACTGTCTGAGGGGCGGGCCTGGTGAGACCAGTCAATCAGAGCTGGGAAGGGAGGGAAAGAGCCCACCTGCCTCTCCCGCAGCCAGGAGCACCGCCCCCAACAGGAAACGGGCTAGTCCAGTAGAACTGAAATCAGCATACAAAAAAATGAGCCTCAGACAACAAAAGCTGCCCAGAAGAAACTCACCTGATTGTCTTTTTTTCTTCTGTTTTTCCTGTTTTCTTTTGGTTTGGTTTTGGCTTAGGTTTTTTGGTGGGTTTTTTTGTTTGCATTTTTTGTATCTTTGTTCTATTCCTTTTTCCTTAGGAAGAAGAGAAAGGGGAGAAATTTTGTTTTTTCTTTTTTTAAATTTTAAAATAAATTTTTAAAATTTTTTTTTAAAAAACATTTTTTAACTAAATTTTTTCTCTTTTTTATAAAAGAATTTTGTCTTGCTTAGCTTCTTTTTAGTTTTGTTTTGTTAATTTGCTTTATTTTGTTTTATCCTTACTTCTAATATCAAGAATTTCTTGATATTCCCTGCTTAACAACTGAGACTTTATCATTATAACCAAGTTTACTGCTTTCCTCTATAGCTTCCACCAAATCTCTTACAGGACTCCCTCCCTGCCTGGGCTATATCTCTCTCTCTCTCTCCTCTCGATCCATTGGCATAACTATTTTTTCTTTGTCTTTTTCCTTTTTCTACTTTTTTTTCGTTCTTTTGTTATCCTCCCTTCTGTCTTCCTGTCTTTTTGTTCAATAGTTAGTTTCTCTAATTCTCATTATTGTATTTTTGTTATCTAATTTTCAACTATTATCCTATTCCTATTCTCTACCTTAATTTTTTGCTGGCCCTTCTTTCTGAATCTTTTCTACATTTCTGTTATCTCCCAATACCTTCTCTATTTTTTACATTTTAGTTTAATATTATTTTCTAAATTTTCACCACTGTTAACAACAATATACATCTTTCTCTCTAAGCGTTACTTTTTCTCTCTTTTTTTAAGCATTTTTCTGTGTGTGTGTGTTCTACCTTCACTCTCCCAGTTCTATTTTCACATGGGTTGTTTTCATTGTGACTGTCAAGATATTTTGTAAGATACCTCTTGTATCCTGGAGTTTAGTTGTGTATTGTCGTGTCTTGCCAGCACCCGTACAACAGCTTACACAACAAGGTTGGGGATGAGACACAGTTAGCCAACATGAGAGGAGGGTCCTCCCAAGGACTGATCAATGACAATCTAGACCCAACCACAACAGGAGAACATAAAGGAACCACAAAAGGGGCACCCACAAGAGGGACACACCTAGAGCAAAGAGCTCAGAAGTATAAGGAAAACACACTCTGGGCTCCACTGGACTCACAATACAAAATCATGTCCCACAAGACTCGGAGACAGCAAATTTATCTAATATATAGTTACAAACACTGAGACCTACCAAAATGGGGAGTCAAAGAACAAAACCCCCAAATTAAAGAAAAGGAAATATCACCAGGAAAATACTTTGATGACATGGAGTTAAGCAAGTTATCAGAAACGGAATTCAGAGTATTGATTATGAAGATGTTCAAGGAACTTAAGATGACACTAGATGATAAGATCGAAGAACATAGTGAAAACATAAAAAAGAGATACATACTATAAACAAAACTTAGAGATAAAGAATGCCGTATCTGATATCAAGAATGCACTGGAAGGAATTAAAAGCAGGCTTAATGAAGCAGAGGATAGAATATGTGACTTAGAAGACAAGGTAGAAAAAAATCACACAATCAAAGCAGCAAAAAGAAAAATCACTTAAAAAGCATGAGGAAAGTCTAAGGGAGCTTTGGGACAACATTAAGCGAAACAACATTCGCATTATAGGAGTGCGAGCGGGGGAGGAAAGAGAACAAGGGACAGAGAACTTGGTGGAGGAAATAACGATAGAAAACTTCCCTAACCTGGTTAAAGAGAAAGCCACACAAGTTCAGGAAGAACAGAGAGTTCCAAACACAGGGGACCCAAAGAGACCCACTCCAAGACACATCATAATTAAAAAGGCAAATGGCAAGGACAAAGAGAATATTAAGGGCTGCAAAACACAGACAAGCAGTGACCTACAAGGGAACCCCCATGAGGCTGACGTCAGATCTCTCAACAGAAACTCTTCATGCCAGAAGGGAGTGGCATGAAGTTCTCAAAGTAATGAAAAGCAAGAACATGCAACCAAGATTAATTTATCCAGCAAGGCTATCATTTAAAATCAAAGGTGAAATAAAGAACTTCCCAGGCAAAAAAAGGCTAAAGGAGTTCAATACCACCAAACCAGCATTGCAAGAAATGCTAAAAAGACTGTTTTAAGAAAAAGAAGGAATAGTGAGAGAAAGGTACATCAGCATAAAGGAGGAAAATGGCATTAAATAAGTTTATATCAATAGTAACCTTAAATGTAAATGGAATAAATGGTCCAATCAAAAGACATAGGGTAGCTGAATGGATAAGAAATCAGGACCCAAATATATGCTACCTACAAGAGACCCACCAGAGAGCAAAAGACTCACACAGGCTAAAAGTGAAAGGATGGAGTAAAATATTCCATGCAAATGGAAAGGAAAAGGAAGCTGGAGTAGCAATTATTATTTCTGACAAAACAGACTTCAAAGTAAAGACTATAACAAGAGACAAAGACCATAACTGCATAATACTAAAGAGATCAATCCAACAGGAGGAAATAACCCTTATAAACATTTATGTACCCAATATAGGAGCACCTAAATATGTAAAAAAATTCTTGGGGGAATTTCAAGGGGAGACTGACAGCAACACAATCATAGTGGGGGACTTTAACGGCCCACTGTCAGCATTGGACAGATCATCAAGACAAAAAATCAACAGGGAAACACAGACCTTAAATGACTCACTAGACCTAATGGACTTAATTGACATTTACAGAACATTTCATCCCAAAGCAGCAGAATACACATTCTTCTCAAGTGCACATGGAACATTCTCAAAAATAGACATGTTAGGGCACAAGGCAAGACTCTACAAATATAAGAAGACTGAAATCATATCAAACATCTTCTCACATCACGATGCCATGAAACTAGAAATCAGCCACTATAAAAAAACTCAAAAATATTCAAACACATGGAGCCTAAACAGCATGTTATTAAACAATGAATGGGTACCAATGATATCAAGGAAAAAATCAAACACTTCATTGAAAGTAATGAAAATGAACAGACATCAACCCAAAATCTATGGGACATGGCAAAAGCAGTCCTGAGAGGAAAATTCATAGCATTACAGGCCTATCTCAAGAAACAAGAAAAAGATCTAATGAACCATCTAACACAACAAGTAAATGAACTAGAACGAGAACAGCCAGAAAAGCCCCGAGGAAGTAGAAGGAAATAATAAAGATCAGAGCAGGGATTAATGACATAGAAACTAAAAAACAAAATACAAATAATGAAACCAAGAACTGGTTCTTTGAAAAGGTAAATAAGATTTACGCACCTTTACCCAGACTCACTAAGAAACAAAGAGATAGGACCCAAATAAATAAAATCAGAAATGAAAGAGGCGATATAACAATCAACCCAACAGAAATACAAAGGATTGTAAGAAAATACTAAGAGCAACTATAGGCCAACAAATTGGACACCATGGGGGAAATGGACAAATTCCTAGAAGCACACAACCTTCCAAAGCTGAATCAACAAGTGTCAGAAAACATGAATAGGCCGATAACAACTAACGAAATTGAAGCAGTAATCAAAAAACTCCCAGCAAACAAAAGTCCAGGACCAGGTGGATTTAGAGGTGAGTTTTACCAATCATTCAAAGAAGAATTAACACCTATTCTATTCAAACTATTCCAGAAAATTCAAGAGAAGAAAAACTCTCAAACTCTTTTTATGAGGCCAGCATCACCCTAATCCCCAAACCAGATAAAGATACTACAAAGAAAGAAAATTACAGGCCAATATCCCTGATGAACATAGATGCTAAAATCCTCACTAAAATACTAGCAAACCGGATCCAGCAATACATTTAAAAGATCATACATCATGACCAAGTGGGATTTATTCCGGGGATGCAAGGCTGGTACAACATCCACAAATCAATAAATGT